GCCTCTTCATGTCCTCTAAAAGACCTCCGACAACCACAGGCGTCCAAGAGCCAAGGATAGATAACGACTTACCTGTTTCAAACCCAACTCCTCCTCCAGGGCTTTACTCCGATTATGCAGTCTTGAAAAGGTGTTGATCTTTTCCTGATCTTCCTTTGTGACTTCGGCGTCCGTCGACTCTGACTCTTCCTCTTTTGAGAGCTTTTCCCCGCGCAAAACCAAGTCAGAAACTCACCCCATCCAGTGATAGACCAAGGGGGGTAGTTGTAGACGACACCCTTGGTATAGGATTACAGGTGGGACTTACAACTCTTCTTGATAGCATGATGGAAGTGGTCGGTTATTCTTTCGGGCGGGCACCCAGGATCGGATGACTGGTGACACGCAGGAGACGGAAGTTGGAGGGACTTATTGGGATGTTTCTAGTCCTTCGATTCGAACCATATACAGTTTTCATCGACAATGGGTCCGTCGCAAGGTTGATATTGTGATGTGATATTTCGACAGATAATGCGCCATACGGCAGAATGGCCCGCAGGACAGACTACGGCAGCTCATTTCCTTCTTAGCCGCACTGGTTGTTTCTGCGCCTCCAAAGTATCGAAACCACCGCATCTTGTCGCTCTTCTTCTTCCCTCTCAATACAGTATATGAACATAACATTGACTTCAGCACCTTGTAATGATGTTCACATGCATCGCAGCTTCACATGCAGACCTATACACATATGACTGGTCATGAATATGTCATTTTTTCCCCCTGAAGACGCCTAGTTACTCAGCACCTCGTCCTTACGTATGCAGCCCGCAAGGTACAGACCATGGAACAGAGCACAAATCTACATCGGTCAAGCGCTGCTTGGGGCTTCATTTGCTTGAGGGGCATCCACTACGGGGTCCTTACTCCAAGATTACCACACCAGAGCTCCGCTATGCATTGTGTCAAGCACGGGAGACGTTAGTCATGAAAGCCTCGAATCTAACCTCAAGCGGGAAGTCGATGGCCCTTTTCGTGAAGCCTCATGCGGCTGGGGTTTGTTTTGCTAGGTGTATGCCAACTTGACCCGCCCAATGTTGTATCCAGAATCCGACAGGCACTCGGGACGCAATGTGATTACTGTGTATGGCGTCAAGGACGAGTAAGTAAATGGTGAATACTTGTATATATACTACTATACGTTGCCTCTCTCGTGGTTTGTCTTCATCATATCGAGAACCCACTCGCGCCGAAGTCCAGTTATATACCATATCTAACATCTCAAGGACACAGCCAGACTCACTCACATCCAGATATACAGCAGCCATGGCCTACCAACAACCACCCTACAAGTTCGAGCGTCTCGACAAAGACAAGGCGATCCTGCTGATCGTCGACCACCAACTAGGCCTTCTCCAGCTCGTCAAGGACTACACCACAGCCGAGTTCCGCAACAATGTCCTCGCCCACGCCGAGCTGGGGAAGCTCTTCGACCTGCCAACCATCCTGACGACCTCTGCCGAGACTGGCCCCAACGGCCCTCTACCCAAGGAAATCACAGACATGTATCCCAACGCCCCCTTCATCAGGAGAAACGGCGAGGTCAACGCCTGGGACAACCCGGACTTCCGCGCGGCCGTGGAAGCCACAGGCCGCAAGCAAGTCATCCTGGGCGGCATCGTCACAGAGGTGTGTACCATGTTCCTGGCTCTCAGTCTGAGAGAGGCCGGGTACTCGGTGTGGGCGAATACTGAAGCCAGCGGAACGGCGACGCCCAAGCTGGCCGAGGATGCGAACCGGAGGATGGAGAATGCTGGCGTGCACTTGGTAAGCCCCGACGCTATTTCCAGGAATCAACGTCTACCTAGAGAATTCTCCACGGTGGCTCTCTTAGGTTTCACAGGGCTGACCGAACACTCTAGACTGGCATGTTTGGCATTGCCATGTTCCTGATGAAGGACTGGCGAAACACGCCCGGCACGGCCGAAGTGCTTCCGTACCTGGACAAGGTACGTGTGTTTTGATATTACTATACACATCCTCTCCATATACAGAGGACACGTTGTTTTCCAACAAAAGAATCAAGCTGACTTGGACTTCCCGCAGTACTTCCCGGCCTACGGCATCGTCGCTCGAAGTCACGGCTCGGCAAAGAAATTCGGCGACATAGTCCCCGGAGAGGAACAGTTACTGTGAAGCGTCCACGCATGCATACACATACACATGCATATACAGCATTCGAGAGGTTTCATTCAAGACCCTTGGGTCGCGACCACTGGAGCTGGAGCTGGAGCTGCCCGCCTCGGAGGATCGACAGTGACCAGGGTTTAGAGCTATTTGGCCGGGAATAGGGCTGGAAAGAAAGGGGAATCTCGAATGCGCTATGAAACCGTTTACCAGAGTACAGCGACACAGTGATACAGTGATACAGCACTCCTGGATGATATATACAACAAAATCGATAAAATGGATTTTTACAAACAATCGAACAAAGGAAAACCCTCAAACCCCAAGGCGCCGCCGTACTATGCCAGATAAGACACGGGCGCTTTTCCTTTCCTTTCCTTTACTTCCTTGTCCGCACACAGATCGATCCCTTATGGTCCATGTAAGTTTGAGGTCAAGAACCATTCTTTGCTCTTGGATAGATGGTAGTTGTATGGATGAGTGGGTGGACGGAGTCTTTATCTACCTACCGACCTACCTACCTACCTACCTACCTATCCATGTACCCAGAGACCCAGGGACCAACAAAACAGTACCATACCGTGTCATAGGTAACCAACTCAAATAACACCACGCCACACCACACCACAGACCGGGTAATGACTCCCCTTCCCTCCCATAATAGAGGAACAAGACAAAAACTCCACGCCAACAAATCCGATCCCGACTTTTTCTAAAATAAATAGGGTAGGGCAGGAAGCGCGCGCGTGGGCGAAGAAAGAGAATGGGGGAAAAAAATAACAAAGTTCTGATTTATACAGCGCTATACCCGCCTCTAGAACCGCCTCCGGACACGGTATCAATCACCTTTCTCGACCAGTCCTTGAAGAGGTAGGGAATGTCGCGGATCGTGTCGCCATGCGGGAGCAGGTCCCAGCCCCGAGCGCCGTAGCGGTTGTAGTTCAGCCAGGAGCCGAAGATGAGGTAGGCGGCGATGCCGAGAAAGGCACTGGTTATGGCGAGGGGCTTTGGTTAGTTATATACATCCAAGATAGGATGGGAAACACAAAACATTCGGGGAAGGCCGGGAGAGGGAGTCCAGTGCAAAAGGGAAAAAAAGGGGGAGGAGGGATGGCATACAGCAGGATAAACCAGGTGAAGAAACCCCATCCGCTCCTCCTCGCTTCGTCGCTGTCGGCGTAGTCCTCGCAAGCATACTTTGTCCGCCAGTCGAGCCTCAGAACCTCTATCTTGTCCTTTCCCTCGACCGGCCCGTAGCTCACAAACGTCAAGCTCGAGGTGCTCGGCTGCTCTTCCTTGTCCTTGTCCTTGTCCTTGTCCTTGTCCTGGTCGGGATCCTGGTCATCGCGCTTCCTCTTCTCTTCGTTCCCGCTCCGATCCTTGTCACACGTCAATTGAACCACTGCCTTTTGCTTCATTTTGTTGTAATTGCCGCCGTTCAGCTCAATCTGGAGGCCGTCCGAGTTGGAATCTTGCGTTTTCAACCTGGTCACCTTAGGATCCAGACCGGCACCCGTGCTGGATTCGAAGTTCCCCGCAATGGGAATCACATTCTCGACTTGGACGTGTTTCTTGTCCGGATCATCGGCAGGGTTCCAGGATTGGACGACACCGCATACTGTCCGCAAACGTTAAAATCATTTCCTGGCCATTGGCATTTCTTGACTCTTGCTCAACCCCAGTCGACCCGCTGGGCCTTGGGTAGCTAGCTTACCTCGAGTTCCGCCTGGACATTGATCCTGGTCTCTTATACCCTCCAACTTCTTCAACGGCGCGCAAAGGTTAATGGTCCACGTGGTGTTGTATTCCGCAGGCGGTCTCGATGTGTCGTGCACAGTGACGGAATGGCGGCCCGCGAGCTTCGACAGGTCAAACTTCTTGCCGTCGACCCGGATATTCTGACAGTCTATTGTTACAGAGGTGACGAGATGTGATAACGACAGGAGAAGCGGTAACAGGGAATAGACGGGCGTTTTCATGGTTGCGGAGGGAGTGGAGAGATGACAAAAAGGTAGGGATGGGGTCGGGATGGGATGAGATCGCGTGGACGTCTAAGAGGAGCAGAGGAGAGACCAAAACAGCAAGTATATCTGAACGACAGGCGAGAACTGAAAAAGTAGTGAAGGGGGCTCCGCTGTACAGCTGGCCGGTTTGAATCTGGGAGATGGTGGAAGGGTTGGTGAGTTTGTGAACTTGTTTCTCGCCGCCTGCGTTTGTCGACCTCGACTTGTCGAACCCTGATCGAGAGACCGGGTGGTCATTAGGCCCGCGCCTCCGCCTCTTTTGAGAAAGGAGTGTTGCCGCCCTATACGCAATATGCATCATTGGCTGAATGAGGGCGATATCATATGGCCCCACTACTCGCCTCTTTTAGCACTCTGAACTGGTACTGGGCATATAGACCTCCAAATACCTCCTTCCTTTCTACATACGCGAACCATCTACATACTCACGTGTCCGTTCCATGTCTTTGCTGTCGTCAGCACTATTCGCATGCATCGTGCTTACAGCTCGTCCTTCAGGATCGAACACGTCGTCCATGAAAGGCTTGGAATTGCAACCTGTGCTTGTGCTGTACGAGTTAAAGCTTGTCTGGCCGTATCTCGTATTTTCTGGGTTTGGCTGCTTCCGCCAATTGGATTCGTTGCTGCCTTGTCCCCGACGTCCGCAAATGGCCTAGTAAGTACCAATAGCTGGAGGCCTAGCTAGGCCTAAGTTGTCTCAATCTTTCGACTCTCAAGTCGTGTATTTCTCATCTCTCCTCCTTTTTTGTTTTGTTATTTCTCCAGATCTTGAGAAACTTTAGACGTCAATCGCACTGGCGCACCGCTCAAGATATGGATGGTGAGGGTGCGAATCGGGTTGATGAGTCCTCAGGAGACCCTCCAATAGGAGCGCCTCCTATTTTCCGACCCGCTAAGCTAGAAGAAGATGACATGCTATCTCGAATACTGTGCAATGCATTTCTTCCGCTCTGGTAGGTCATTCTGGAATGAGGAGGAGGGATACGGATGGATCAGACCAAACCAGCTGACGCCTCTGTAGGAATCACAATTGGTTCCACGGCGTTTCGCAACCGCTGGAGCCTGTCATGATCGGCACACCCACCAGTAAACCGCACATGACCAGTCTGCAGAAGACTCGAGTCCGCTTCTATCGGAGCTTGATAAGCGCGACCAGGCTACTTGGTGGTTCGGTTCTCGTCGCTGAGATCAACACGTCGGATGGTGACGGTGACGGCGCAGAAGCGACAACATCAACATCAACAACGCAGACCGATATAGGTGCCATCCTGCTCTGGCTGCCTCCACACAAGCGGATGGGACCATTCGAGCTCGGCAAACTGTGGCAGTCGGGATTTTTGGGCCTCATGCTCCCCTGGCACTACGGCCCAAGGGGCTTCTACCGCATCGAGTTCATCTTTGAGGAGAACATCCGCAAGATGTGGACGCGCACGCTACCGGAGCTGCAGCCCCGTGGGTTCAAGGAAGAAGAATGCGCTTTCGTCCAGATGATCGCGAGCAACCCCAAGTACGCCGGGAAACGCTACGCGTCGGCCCTGTTGCGGCATCAGGTGGAGCAGCATTTCGAAGAGTTCCCCGACCGCCCTGTCATTCTCGATACGACCACCACACAGGCCATCCGGGCGTATGAGCGGCTGGGGTTCAAACTCCTCGCCGAAACGCCCGTGGATACCGGGACCGATGCCACGGGGATGAAACTCAAGTCCAATGCCAGCGAAGAGATCAGGAAGGAAGCAAAGGAGATGTGCATCCAGCGAGTGATGGCGAGAGTACCATGAGTTTGATGGATTTTGGTTGATATTGATGTCTGTCCTCGAAGAGAGGGGGATTGATTTGTATGGAGGAGGCCATGGCCGCCTAGGTTGGTACGTCGTTTTTGTAATGTGACGGGCGGAGGATGCAAGTCGCTGTACCAGGCATGGCATGAGTGATCAAGGGACCTGAACAGGGACACATGTTGCCCCCTTCTCTCTAACGGGCACTGATGTCACTTGCTTGGTCGATAATCTCGTAATCTGAGACGAGGCTGCACCCTCGCAGCAGCAAGCCTGCACCTCTTACCCGTTTCTGTCTGTCTGTCTGTTCTAGGCCCCTTTGCAAGAAGGCCCTTTTCTCTTATTCTTACAAGTAACAATGAAGGGGGACATCAGATCAGATCAACTCAGATCAGACGAGGAATTATTAATTACCTAGGCATTAAGTCCAGGTAAGGTACTTCGTTACAAGTCCGTCCATGGCCACAAGAAAGGGTAAAAAAAAATACAGGTACACATGTAAAATACAGACTACGAGTACAAGGTTCGGGTTAGAGGGATTTAAACCTCAAGCCCTATCGATAACTCTCTTGTTCGTACTCGTAATTACCTTTGTCAAACCTTGTACGGCTTTGAGCCAAGTCAGTCACGTACTCGTCGTTGTCCTTACTCGAGTAGCAACGACCAAGTTACTCAATTGCTAAGCTGGTGCTGGTGGTGCAACGATAATTACAAACCACAAGTGGCGTTGCTGGCGCGGCAATGGCACGCCTTGGTTGGATAACATGGGTGAGGTGGAGACCATAATACGAGTTGAATACTCACTCAGTACTAAGTTCTGGTTTTTGCCTTTTGGAACTATCCGGACATATTGAATCTTGTCGCTTCTCGGAAGCACTTTTCAGCCTGTCCCATCTTCGCCATCGTACGAGTCGCCGGCCAGTTCTCTCCCAGACTTCTAGATTTCCCCCGGAACAAGTTTGGGTCACTCCGCGGCCCCCCAGGAAGCCGTGGCATGACGATGGACAAGACAAGTTGCGACGACAAAAGTAATTATTCAGCTTGGCTGTGGGTTGCCTCGATGGCCTCTGACCCCATGTCCAACGTCGAGCGTGACTGTGCATCAGTTGGCGGAATGCAGGAAACACTAGTTAGTGGATGACATCCCCTTATAACGTCGCACTTTGAATCAACACCCGCACCGTACATCTCACCCGCTGTTGCATCTTTCTTCTCAGAAAGTCGAGGAGCGACACCCACATTCAACCCATCAAGCCGCTTCAAATGGCTGCCGCCGAGGACATCTTCGACTACATAGTAGTGGGCGGCGGAATCGCCGGCTGTGCCCTCGCTTCTCTCCTCGCCAAATCGAAATCATCCCCCTCTGTTCTGTTAATTGAAGCTGGCCCGGATGTGTCGGGTCACCCACTGACCCAGTCTCCTTTGGGCTGCTTCGCCGCTCACGGATCGGATATTGACTGGAACTATAAGACCGTACCTCAACCACACCTCAATGATCGGTCGCTGTACGAAGCCGGTGGGAAGGCTTTGGGGGGTGGTAGCGCAACCAACTATGCCACCTGGACTCGTGGTCCGAAAGTAGATTACGACCGATGGGGGAAACTCGTGGGTGATGCGAGATGGACCTATAACGGCCTCCTGCCTTATTTCGACAAGATCGAGAAAGACCACATCTCAACTGTGGCCATATCAAAGAGCCACCCTGACCGCAAGTCTCCCTTGAGGGATCAAGTCTTGAAGGCGTGGCTTGATCTTGGACTGAGCCAGATCGAGAACGCCAACGGCGGTGAGCCTTTAGGTGTAGGCGAAGTGGTCGAGAACTTGAAGGAAGGGAAAAGGCAGCTAGCGAGCGCAGCGTTCGATTTGAGAGACGTCAAGGTCATGACAGAAACTGCGGCGCAAAAGGTGCTTCTCGAAAATCGACAGGGAAAACTTACCGCTATAGGAGTCCAAATCCATGGCGAGAGACATTTTCTGGCATCCAAAGAGGTCATCCTCTCGGCAGGAGCATTTCGCACGCCACAACTTCTCATGCTGAGTGGAATTGGTCCAGCTGCAGACTTGGAGAAAGCGAACATCCCAACACAGCTCGACTTACCTGGCGTCGGCCTGAACTTCCACGACCACCTCCTGGTCGGATTCGCTTTTCGCCTCAAGAACCCTTCACTGGGCCTTGCCATGGGAGGTGTAGCCGGACCCTGGGCAGAGCCAGCACATCAATTGGGCCTTCCTGTGGACTGGGTTGTGACCGAGAACGTGCCGAGGTCCTTTCTGGAGGAGGCTGTGAAAAAAGATATGGTCCGCGACTCATCTGGGGGTGGAGACACATACCCTGTCTCGCTTCTCGATTCCGAGTCAGTCCACCTTGAATCTATCATGATGTACGCCCCTGGTGGCCTACCCATCACCAACCTGCATGTTCCCTTTGATGGAACACATATAGGTGCCGTGGTGGGGGTTATGTCGCCGACGTCCCGAGGCAAAATCGGTTTATCTTCCTCGTCAGCATTGGACCCCCCAGTCATCGATCCCAACTACAACGCAACAAACGTCGATCGCGCGCTTATGCGTTATGGAATTCGCCGCTTGCTTCAAGCTGTTCAGCACTCCATGTCGGACGTGGTCGAGTCTGAGAACCCTCCGCCTTCAGTCGAAGCCCTGTCATATACATCTTCTGATTCAGCAATTGACGCTCGGGTGCGGTCCGAGGCTCGCACGTTCTTCCATGCCGCAGGGACAGCAAGTATGGGTTCCGTGGTGGATACACAATTGCGAGTAAAGGGCATCGGTGGTCTGCGAGTTGTGGATACCAGCGTCATCCCAATACCAATTGGTGGACATCTGCAGGCTGCAACCTATGCCATTGCTGCGCAGGCTGCGGACATGATCACGCAAGAAAATGGACGGCGATGATACTCACATGGGTTAGGCGAGGCTGCAAGGGGCGGCTCCGAGGTTGTCGACTTCACGACTCGGCGAGTCGCTGTCGGTCTTCTCCTGATCCACTGAACGACGATCAAGCGAAGAGTCCCCTGGACCAGCAGGGGAGCACATCTCGTGCTTGCCAAGGAATGACTCTCTATCCCATCTGGAATCCTTGTCCTTGTACGCTCATAGATCGATTGTGGTGGTGGCGTGACAGTCGCAGCCTGAGATTCTGGGTGTAGCTCAAGATCCGACTTAGTGTGAAGAGCATTACAGTGTACCATGTGTCGACTCGCCACATCGTAGTCATTGCCCAAGAACAGACCATGAATTGTACCACTGGGGGGTGGGTCGATTTCCCCAGATTCAGCGATGCTAGTCTCCACCAACAGACCTGAGGTCAGAGGCTGGGACGGCCAAGCTAGCCTAGCATTGGCATGCCGTGTTCGTCCAGTCATATCCACAGGTGCATGCCGAGAAAGCCCGTTGATCTGCAATGCAGCCGCACTGCCTGGACCATTGTTGAAGTGCAAAGGTATTCGTATATTGTGAGACCTTGGCGCCAACGTGGCAACTTCTCTGAAGGATGACGGCCAAGGTGCCAGGAAGAGGGGTAAATACGTACAATATGGTTTGGAACGACATCAGACCGCTGGGCAACAATGGCCAAGTACCTTGGAAGAGAAGAGGCATTCCTCGCCCCAGAATGCCATGCCTGGGCAAAGATGATGAGGCCAACAGCATAAAGACCCTGACCTCACAACTCCCAGCCCTTGCAAGAATGTTTCGCTTACGTTGAAGCTGTGGGCATGAGATTGGAGGCCAGCAGTCTTTGAACAAAGAACTTTCGAGATCCAGAGCCACAGATAGCTGAAGCCACCATGTCGTCGACAGATCAGAAATACAACGACTCAACCGGCCACTTTTCCGACATAAGTGCGCATGAGCAACCGCAAAGAGTGAATGAAGACCAACTGGACTGGGACCAACACGCGGAGAATAAGCTGGTTCGGAAAATCGACTGGCGACTCATTCCAATTTTAGGAGCTCTGTATTCCATTGCCCTAATTGATCGTGTCAATGTAGGGTGCCCACCCTCCCATCTGGATGCCATTAGCGCTGACTTGACCAGATCTCCAATGCACGGATTGCTGGCATGGGAGAGGATCTGGATTTGGACGTGGGAAACCGATATACTGTCGTCTTAGTGGTGTTCTTTCCCCCATACTGCGTGTTCGAGGTACACGACTTTGCATGTGACGTCTCAGAACTGTCGAACTGAAACCGCAATAGCTACCTTCCAATATTGTTCTTCGTCGTGTGGGAAGTGCCAACTGGCTCGCATTCATTGCGTTCGCGTGGGGATGTGTCATGATCGGTCAAGTACCAGGCATCAATGATCCTGCCATGTGTCTTGTACAACTGACGCAAGCATAGGGGTTTGTCAAGTCGTACGAGGCTCTCGCCGTCTGCCGTACGTTGCTCGGTTTCTTTGAGGCAGGTAAGAAAAATTGTCTCCTCGACTCTAGAAGTGAACTGATGACATGCTACAAGGCTTCTTCCCTGGATGCGTGTACTTGATCAGCTGCTGGTACAAGCGGTACGAGGTCCAGAAACGGTATGCTGAAGAAAACCCTTTGGAGAATTGGCTCCTAATGCTTCAAGCCTCGCCTTCTTTTATCTCATGTCCGTTCTCGTCGGCGGTTTCTCGAATATCCTTGCATATGGCCTGATGCAGATGGAGGGTGTGGGCGGCCTGCGCGGGTGGCAGTGGATCTTTGTAAGGTGACAGATCCTCGTGTATATCCATTGCTGATGCGCAACAGATCATTGAAGGCCTGTTGACAGTAACCGTTGCCGTCATTGCATGGTTCATCATTATCGACTTCCCGGACAAAGCGGAAAAGAAGGGCCTTTTGACGCACGAAGAAGCTTCATTCATCATCCGGCGGATCGAGGATGACCGGAAAGATGCTGTCCCTGATCCACTCACGTGGGCAAAGTTCTGCCATCACCTGAAGGACTGGAAACTCTGGGTCTTGTATGTCCATCGTCCTCCCTAGTTCTTGTCTGCCACTGACGATTCCAGTTCGATGATGTTTATGTCGACGGCTAACCCCGCGTATGCTTTTGCGTACTTTATGCCGGTCATCATCCAGGTAAGCCACGTGCTGCCAATTGCCCATGGACGGCAAAGCTAATCTATAGCAGGGGATGGGATATACTGCCGGGGTTGCGAACTTACTTTCGGCGCCCCCAGTCGTTGCTGCAGTGATCAGCGCTTTGACATTTGCATGGGTTGGCGATAAATACCACAGACGTGCTCCCGTGATTCTAGCCCAGGCACTCATCGTGCTCATTGGGCTTATGATCACGGCTTATCACGGTTCTGACGGCGTCCGATATTTCGGAATCTTCCTTGGTGTTGCAGGCTGTCAAGGCAATGTCCCAGCTATCCTTGCCTATCAATCCAACAACATCCGGATGCAGTCAAAGCGAAGTGTAGGCAGCGCGCTTCAGATCGGGTTTGGAGCTATTGGTGGCATCCTCGCTTCCACCACCTTTCTCCAGAAGGAAGCTCCGACATATAGAAGTGGGCTGTGGACTACCGCAGGGTTGCAGCTCTTCATCATATGCTCTGTCTGCTGCACATCGGTTTATTTCTGGAAGAAGAATGGCCAGGTCGATACCGGGACTTTGGAGAAGCCGATCGAGGGACAGGAGGGATTCAAATACACTCTCTAGATTGGTGAGGAATGGCGCGGTCAAGGTCGTCGTGTGAGGGTGGACCAAGTGGCCCTAGGGACTTACCACGAGATAAATTCGTCACAGGTCTGGAAGAGAATGCTGTCCGTAGTCAAACATAGGCAGAGAAGAGCAGATGAAGTGGTGGTGTTGGTGGTGGTTTCAATCCTGAAGATGAGAAATGCACTTTTTGCTTTCCTGCGCCGCTGAACAAATTCGGCTGAGCATTCAACTCGGTAACCGCATATTCAAAGAAACTCCCAAACTTCGCTCGCGCTGTGTGACATTGAATGGACAAGACACCCTTTTCAGCGCTGTGGTAAATAGTTTCGTCAGTCACCGTGGCTTCAACTATGCCAGGACACTGGGGTGATTCAAGCAAAGACCGCCTCTTTGCCTTGAAGAACCGTAAAAAATAAAAATAAAAAAAAAAACTTGTCACACAAACACACCCTCTCTCTCTATCTCTCTCACAAACCATGCCGAACAAGAAATCCAAGCCCAATGCCTCCAAGGGCAAGGGTCCTGCTCAACCCCCTGGTCAGGCAAAGGCGACGCCATCGGCGCCCTCTCCAGCTATCCAAGAACCGGCCCCCTACATCCCTTTGACCCTCCCGAAGCCGGACGTCAACGACGACTTTTGGATCAAGAACGCCCGTGCGAAAGCTTTGATCTTGTCAACCTTGGTGCCGGGGAGCGAAGCGTGGAAGGTTGCTGAACCGGTCGAGATCGCGTCAGATATCTGGAGGGCATTGGAGGACCACTTCACTACGAAGCGTCCCAATGTCCGGGCAAAACAAGGAGGTTCTGGGGAAGCGAGTGGAAACAGCGCAGTCGTTGGTGCCGATGCCAGCGCAAGCAAGAGTGAAGTGGACCTCGTCAATGGCAAAGCTTCATCGTCTACGAGCTCCAGCTCAGGGCCCATTGCTAAGAAGCCACTGGAAAACATGGACAAACCGTCAATACCGCAACTGGACGGTACCGCAGCCTCTGGGCCTTCAACACAGGCTCCTTCGCATGCAGAGCACACCCGCAACTCCGCAGACTTGGCCAACAAGCTCGAGAAAGGGAAGAAGAGCTCAGCAGTGATCAAGGCGCAGCTCGAGGAGAAGGTCATGCCCCAGAATCGATCAGATGTCCAAGGTCCAGCCCAACCCCAGGTTCAACCAGAGCTTCCGTCTCAATCGCAATCGCAAAACCAAGCCCATGCTGCAGCCAAACCTCAGCCGCAACAAGCCCAAGCTCAAGCTCCAGCTCCAGCTCCAGCTCAAGCTGAAGGCCAGACGCAACGCGCGGCGCCCACCCAGCCGTCCCCGCCCGAGCAAGGCATCCCACGCCTCTCGACGCTCACACCCCCTGGCCGCTGGACCGCGCAACCGGTCAAACACGACAGCTACCTCAGCGAGCACCAAGCGCTGGTGTTTGCGCAGGACGACCCGGACCGCAAGAAACAGATCCAGGTCGCCGCCACGAAGGTGCTCATGCAGAAACTCCCCACGCGGGACATGCGGCTCCTGTGGGCCGTGCTCTACGGGGGCGAGGACGCCCCCTGGCCCGGGTCGTGCTCGGCTGTCATCCCCGGCGTGACGACTCTGCGGTGGCAGAACAAAAGCTACGAGATGGACTACGAGACGCTGGGGTGGAGTTGGAATAATAGTAACAATGGCAAAGGGGACGACAAGGGCTGAGACCGGGACAGCGGTGGTGTGGCCTTATATAACAAAATGCTGCTTGCGGTATTCGTTTCAGAGGGTATCAACACAGGCGACAGAGTCGTCCGTCCAGGCAAAGTCTGAACCCAATTCCTGCTCAGAAACGGGGATCGCACACCACACCCAGGTCTCTCAAATCACAACGGAATCCCAAATCCCCCGGCAACAGCCAAAGCCAGCAACCATCCCACCAAGACAGCCAACACAGAATTCAGCTTCGGCACCGTGACCTGTACGGCGGCACTCTTTGCCTTGATATAGGAGACATTCTGCGCCAACGAGACAATATCTCTCGTGGCATGTCCCGTCTGTGCCAGCTGCCTCAACTGATCTCCGAACGTGGCCAGAATCCTGGTACTCCTGCCGGCCGGACAGAAGACGACTTCGAACCCTCCGCCCTGAGGAATGATGAAGGTGGAGGTCTGGTCGTCATACGCATAGCTGTATGCGTCGGGACACAGCTTCTTGGCCTGTTGCGAGTAGAGGCTCGGCGAGCAGGTTGCCGGTGTGCCGTGGTCACCGGTACAGCAGTACTTAGCTTTGTTCCACTTTGCACAGGCGCTCAGGCAGGGGTTGAAGATGGGCCGCTGGATGCTGTCGTCCGGGTAGGGATAGACGCCGTCACCCGGTTTGGTGGGCGGCGTGAGTTGCAGTGGCCAGGGACACCAGTCTTGTACGAAGGAAGAAGTCACAGACTGGTCCAGGGGGAGCGGATAGGTCGAGTTCGTGCCAAAATCGACATCGGGGGCATCACCCACGGGCGCGAGAAGAGACGAGGTGCCAATGCAGACCGGGTTGGTCAGGTTGGGAGGGATGTCGGTGAGGTTTGCGTTGTCGGTCTCGCTGAGCAAGGAGATGATACCCATGGGGATGTTGTAGCCGTCGACCAGCGAAATGTCGTAGAAGCATTGGTTGGTGTCTGACGACATGGTGAATTCTGCCAGTGTAGCTGGTGCTTGTCCCTGCGCAAAGCTCAGCGAACGTTCAATATCAGCTACATACGTTGCACAGAGAGAAGTCTCATGTCAATTTGATTCGTCTACTCACTCTTGGAAGGACATGATGTGAACCACCAAAGGAGAGGGGGGGGGGGGGGGGGGAAGGAGAGAGTTGACTCACTGCACCCTGACATTCCAAGAACATGCCACAATCGCCCGTCTGGCAGGGACTGCCTCCCTGCCCACTCGAAGGCGGCAGAGGCGGTAACGCCGACGTCGACCCTGTCGTCGTGGGAAAACTGCAATTGGTGCGAGCCCACACGCGGCCTTTCCAGTCGAGGCCGACGGTCTGAGACTTTGTGGCGCCCGAGCCGAGCAGGAAGCCCGAGCTCGCGGGGCCGGTGCCGGACTGCGTGAGGATGGCGGGCCAGATGGGTTCTTTGCAGTTGTTAGTGACGCGCAGGGGGAGCATCGTGACGGCGGCGGCGGCGGGGATGGTGGAGAGGAGGATGAGTGCGGCTGAGAGGGGAGATATGGTATGGGATGTGCGACGGCCGTACTGGTGCTGGTATTGTCGTGGTCGTGGTCGACGCCTCTTTGGGTGCTTCCTCTCTAGACACAGACACGTCTTTGTGACACTGTCTCCAGCCATGGCGATATATGCTGGTTGGTGAGTAATGGCGCCAAAATCAAATACCGCTATCAAAAAATTCCACCGTCCACTCTGTCCCTCAGATCCTCGATCTGCTGCTCCAAGAGCCGTTGACAGTCAGACGGGAACTTGGTTGGCTGTGATGCCCAGGGTATCGGTAGGTCAGGGGCCTTTCCAGTCTCGGCATATATCAGAATACCAGATATTTCGACACCGCTCCAGGTCCAGTGGACAGCGCGTTTCTATTCTTATTGCTTATCCTCGGCTTCCCAAAAACCAATACTAGTGACGGGCTGGTAGGTTGATGTAATGCGCGGATGGGAGTTTTAACAATGTTCAGGGTAATATTGATGTTTGCGTTTGCTGCTTTAATCCTGTCTTTTCAATTTCATCGACGACAAGGACGCTGGGACTCTGTCGCCGTGCGTGTTGTTTGACAGCCTTGGGATGGTCTGAGGGAAGGCGCGATCCAGATCAGAGGAACCTCTCGCGACCCACAGTAGATATATCAGAAGAAAAAAACTGCCAGACTCGCCAGTCTAGGGTTTCCTAAATCTTGGATCGGACTCCCCGGGTGCCCAGTGTCGATCCTAAACAGCACGCTGGATCGTGTTGGAATGATCGGGAATCAAAGACGAATGGGGGGAAATGGCCACGCGTCGAGATAGCGGACTTGGTTGAACGAGAGGGTAGCAAGGGGACGAAGACGTCTCCCTTTCCTCAACTGCAGGATTGTCGAAGAATACCATGGCACACATGGTTTGGCGATTTGGATCTGGTTGCCCGATCATCGTTGTGCCCAGATGATCGACCCCCAAATCCTGCCTTGTACCCTGCCTGCCTGCTTGATTGTATGTGCGTACCGAGTACATCCAGTAAGTTGGGCGACGAAAGATATGCAGCATGATGTCATATTAACTAAATGCGGAAGAGATCCGGTGGCGGTGCACAAGCTTCTATTGGTACCTGTGGCGTATGAGGCTCGAGACGGCTACGGGCCGGGCACGCTAGGCTCTGAATGTGAACAAAGCCCCACATCTGCCTTGCCCCAAAACAGGTCCTTTCAAGGCCAAGCTACACCAAGCTTCATGTGCTCGGTATACCAGTTGCTGACCCAATATCACGCAGTCAGCGAAACATGCTTGCTAAACAGGAACTCCCCAATCCCATATGCAGCACCATTGCTTCCCCATCCACTTCCCTTGAATCCCGTCTGTGGCGCGGCGACTGCATTGACTGTCAGTAACTAATCTCAACAAATGCAGAGAAGTATCCTTTACCGTTGACAGACATGGTGTGCGAGTTGATCTGGACCTGTCCAAACTCTAGGTCTCGTGCCAGAGCCAGTCCTTTGGCATGGTTTCTCGTAAAGACCGATGCAGATAGACCGTACGGGGTGTCATTCGCCAGGGCCAAGGCTTCCTCGTCACTCTTGACCACATACAAACTCGCAGACGGAGCGAACGACTCTTCGCGCGAGAGCCGAGATTTTGGGTTCACATCCATCAAGATAGAAGGCTCGAGAGACGTTCGGCCCGTGAATTGGGTGCTGCCGACGAGGAACTTGGCACCATCAGCCACAGCCTCTTCGATGATGTCCTGAGACCGTTTTGCCCCTTCTACCGTGATGGCGTGGCCAGCCGAGGGCAGAGCTTTTGTGGCTTCGACAAGTAACCGGGAGAAGTCCTGGGCCACCTTCTCATGGACAATGATTCGCTCAGTACCGAAACAGATCTGACCGTGATGGGCAAAGGCTGGAATACCGTGAGACATGTATCATTCACACAGTCGGGATGGGAGATAAGGACCTACTAGCTCGAACACAATTCTCTGCAGCGGTTTGCAAATCTGCGTCCTCCAGGACAAGCACAGGGCTTTGATCTCCCAGCTCCATCAAGACAGGCTTCAGATGCTTGGCTGCCACGGTGCCTATAATTCGCCCGACTGCGGCACTGCCGATGAATTCGACCTTTCTCAGAGCCGGATGGCTGATGATGGCTTCAGTGACAGCAGGACCTTCCGAACGGGAGCATTGAATCTTGTTCAGTGCCCCGGCTGGAAGTCCTGCGTCCGCGAAGACTTCAAGAACCAGTTGGTGAGTCCACGGGCACAGTTCGGAGGCTTTGAAGACCACCGTGCAGCCTGCTGCGAGAGCAGCAGCGATGCCACGGAAGGCTAGAATGATTGGAGCATTCCATCTGCCACCGTGCTGGTAAGATAATGCCAACTTCTCAGAAACGGATGGTTCGACTTACGGTATGATGGTCAGAATGACACCAACGGGCTCTCGAAACACCAATGAAGTCGTTCCTGGAACCTCAGAGTCCGGTATGCTCCCGCACACGGTCGAAACATTGGCAGAGGTCTCTCTCACAAATTTTGACGCAAAGATCACCTCAAACCCTGGCCAGTGCGCATCACAACTAGTCTCTGGAATCTCTCTTTTGACCAACTCTTCGACCTTAGTCTCCAAGATGTCAGCCGCTTTGTTCAACGTTGCCCGCCGTTGCGAGAGTGGAGTCTTCCTCCACGTCTTAAAGACCTCAGCAGCAGTCTCGACGGCATGAACTCCGACGTCGACGGTTGCGCTCTGGGCGTAATGGATTGTGTCCCCAGTTGAACCTTGAATGACAGGGAAGTTCTGAGTTTCGGGCAGAGACACGACCTTGCCTCCAATAACATTAGGCACCACGGCAGCCCCGGAAGACGATCTCTGGACATACATTGGTAAGATTGAGAGGGAAATTTTCGTCCTATAGTCTTGACCGCCACGGTTGAACGGACAATGGAGTATTAAATATCTTCAGAGTGTGCGACCTGAAGTCACATGGATCAGGCTACCAGGCCACCAAGGCCTAACCCTCAGTTTCCGACGTCAGCTAGGCGCTCAGCTGCCCACATGGCAGTGTAGTGTGAATTGTCTTCGCCAACGATACCTAAAAGTAAGTCATTCTTTCGACGTTGGTGGCCTAACCTTGTTCATTGCACTGGGACAGATCAACATCCTTGTAAGCGTTTCATTGAGTGTTGGCAGAGTGCTGTACGGGCCTCTGGTCTTCAGCCGAACATGGCAGCGTTCGGCCGTCTAGGATTATCTGTATCTCTCTCACATTTCAGGTCCGGCGACCAAGTTGTGGGGTTTCTTACAAGCCATTTGTTAGAACCAACAGTAGGCAAGATGCTGTCTGCGCAAACTTACTGGCGAGGCTCGTATCAGAGCAACGCCTTTTTGGACAGACGCACGTCGCATTCCGCTTCCGCGTTGTAATGTTGGTCCCCGGACATGTGAATGGGACATCAGGAGAGGTCTTGGTTTCACAGTCTCAAGCGGAGCTAGGAGCCTGCTACTCACACCCTGCACCGCGAGAAGGTGCCTCTCTATTGCAAGGCGCCCTCCTCTTTCCAAAGTCCCGCAGGACCGATTTTATACCTTATGGCGTAAGACTTGTGAATCCACCATCATCAAACCCGCAGGGCTTGTTTTCAAAGTCCTTTAATGCCCTCTCTAGACAAATGGGCGGAATCCAATCCGAGAAATTTGATCACCCGAGCCACACGAGGACTTGTAGGCGGTTGACGCTGACGCTGACGGGCAGCATTTTTGAAATGGGCCCCTCCCTCTCCTCGACGACTGGCAAGTTCACGTGTGGCGCCGATTGAAGCGCTTCCAGGGTGGACTGGGACTGGTTAGTAAGTGCAGAAATGAGGGTTTGGCAAAGACTCGTACATCAACTGGTTCTTCCAGGAGATTCATAATGACGCTAGGATATTGGATGGTTGTACCTTTTGTCTTTGAATATTTGACGTAAGTGCTGATTCAGCGGTGGCTGTCATTGACTGAATATTGTTGTTGTAATGAGTGTATGTAGCGGTGATTTTCTCATTGTTGGTATTGCAGGACCTTTTGCTTGTAAATTATGCCGGCTTTGTATTGTCGCAGCTGAAAATATATTGCTGAGACTCGTTGCACATTCGATACTATCCATAGACATATACTTGAAGATGGTTGGAATTGTTGCTGACTGATTTGGATTGGTGATGAGTTGATTGTATCATTTGTCGCAAATATTGATTCAATAACCCGGAGCGCTTTCAAACATAGAATCCTGCAAATCGATGCCGTAAGTGCTCGTAGTGGTGGTTGGGCCGAAGTAAGAGTATTGAGCTTGAGGTAGCTGCCACATCGGATACAAGCCAGGCGGTGGTGGAGGAGAGCGAGGTGGCGAATAATAGGCTCCGTAGGGCGGTTGCTGATTCTGATAGATCTGATCATATGCACAAAATGCAGGAGGACACCATTCCTGCTGAAAAGGAACTGGCGGGAAGTACCCTGGAGGAGGAGGAGTAAAAGGTCGAGGTGTCAAGTGTCCTTGCCAGAAAGGAGAGGGTGCTGGGATTGCAGCACATGCTGAAGCCCGTTCTGGAGTTGCTGGTCTCGAAGGGGCGAAAATGGTTGAGATGGTTTGAAGAACTGTGATCATATAGTCGTGTCCGTGATCTGAGGTTCCGGTGTGCTTGTGGAGCTCGGCTGTCTGCCTTCGCAGGTTGATGGCGGTCTGAAGGTTTTCGAGTATGTTCTCGGGCATTTGGATGCCGTCTTGAACGGCCGAAACTGCCAATTGGAGATGCTTGTTCAGGGGAATTGTGCTCGGTCGGTTGTAGAGAGCCCTGATCCACGACAGAACATTGTCTGTAGCTTGTTTATATCGGCCATACATCTTGCCATATTCTGGATTGACAATAGCCATATTGCATAGATCTGGGATATTTGTGTAGATAGCTGATTATCACGATAAGATTGAGGATGTATTCGAACGGTTTGTCCGAAATGAGTGGTGTATCGAGCTATGTGGGACTGTTGGTGCATCCGGATCTGTAGAGAATGTGTCCGTTGCTGTATTTGCTGTTCTAAGAGCGAGAGCAGGCTGATTGAGCTGCGTAGTACGTTACGAGCTGGAGAGTGTGTCGTGTGGTTATTGTCGGTTCGAGCCTGCAGATTGTAGAGACAGGCAAGGGACGGCATCTTGGGATTTATACTCGGCGTGTGGAGGCCACAGAGATGTTTCAGAAACGTGTACACCGGGACGATATTGATGGGAAAGGTAAAAGTAGTGGGAAGTTTCTTTGAAGGCATCCCATGCGCGCGATAGCTCACCGGCTTTGGTCAATGTTTTGATTGAGAACAGGGGGAAACGTACCATCTTCCTCATCCAGCTCAATCAAACAATCATTGGTTGCATTCTCTGACCCAGACTTTCGATTGAATGGTCCAGCCTTGGATCACGGTTGTTGGGAACTCGCGAAGACTGATCCAGGAAAGCAGCATACAGATTTGAGCGCATTCGGAGTCGCCTTCCGGCACAGAAAATCGCACGTGGCTAGGCGTATAGTGGCCCATGGTTTGCCTGGGGGAAAACCAAAGAAGAAAATGCGCTAACGTTCAAATCTTGACATAGTGGGACACTGGTAGGGTATCTGGAGAGCAGCCTGGTTCTCCTATCCGGGATGGAGCATGAAGGTGCTTGTAGACTTGAAGAGCGAGTGGACATCACTGTTTTGCATTGGGCGGGAAGACCTTGGTTGACAAAGCACTTATGAATGTACACCAGGCTCTTCATTCTTTTTCTGGCTGACTGCGTGGCTGGAATTACAGATCTGTTCGCCCTGTGTGTGACCACATGGTCAATGCGCAGACTGAACCAATGTTGGACGTGATATCGTGTCATTTGGTAGATTGTCCGAGCCATTTTGTACCATAAGGAAGCGCCAATTGGCATCTTGGGAGTGGAGCACAGAGCATATGCATTGACTTTCAACCAAACTCGAAGCAAAGTCTGTGCCAACTCAGCAAAATTAGAGAAGGCAAGTCTGCTGAGGGGTTCGAGGGACAATAGGGGGCAAGCCCAATGTTGAACAGTTTAGAGGCATTGGTTGACCTTCCGATTCCTCGTCCTCAACGTGCCCAAGGGTTGACTGCCAGGAATTGTAGTGCGAAGGAACTTTCAGGGTGGAGGGCATTTCCGGATGCATAAGGTGGCAGAGTCCGCTCAAACATGGGTCCAAACCATCCATGGAGACTCGTCACAAAATGAGGCCAACTACCTGATGAGAGCGGAAGTTAGCAACAATAGCAGGTGATGAATGTTGTTGGCGGAGAGATGGGAGGAAGACAAGATGGTGGTGGCTTCGCTGTGGCTTTGCGAGAGGCGCAGGGCGAGTTTCAGATCAATCACGGAAAATCCTTTATCCTTATCCCGCTTCACATCTCGATGCCTAGGAAAGGCCAAAGCGCAGCTTTTGACGAAAAGGCCAATTGGAAAGTGTTGTTATTTTCTCAGATATATCTAGGGGTATATATTGTAATAATATGAAGTCCCTGACCACTTCGGAAAATCTCATTACCCATGCAGACCGCCTAGCATCCGGCCATGAATGGCTGGAGCAAAAATCTCAAGTAAATCCCATGAATCCAGTGTAACCCCAACGCCGCGCGATGCGAAAACAAGGTCTCCAATAGCATGTCAATTGACTATTTGTAGAACCAGTAGGTTGCCGAGTACTCCACGCTGAAAGCTGCAGGCATGTCTGCACATGTCGCAGGGGGCTGCCCACCAGCGGTGTCCAGGCGGTAGACAGCCTTGATGTCGCCTTCAGTGGTGGATCGAGATGTCAGGTAAAGCCAGGGAACGGCGCCATTTCCAGTACCGCTGACGCCAGCCACAGCATTGGCTGGGGCATCGGAAGAGTGCTCCTTCTGTGCAAAGACGGTACCAAGTTCTGGAGACTCGGGGACGTCAAAAGCGAAGACCGGAGTGGTGGTATTGGAGAAGAAGTGGTGAGATGAAAGCTGAAGGTCCGAGGGTGAAAGGGGAGCAGAAGGGTCGGAGGGCAGAGGGTATTGTAAGGCCAGGTTGGGGATGAGGGCCAGGAGATCCGGATAATCAGCCGCCACACACGAGGCATTGTAGAATCTTGCAACGGCCCCGACTGCGGCAGGAGTGGCTGTGGCATTGGCACACGTATAGTTCTGTCAAATGTCAGTATACACCCGCGACCAGGATTGAAGAAAACCACATACCTGCACACCTCTACCGATAGCAACATGTTCAAGGACCAATCCTGACGGGCTGGGGAGTGGTGTGGGTGCGATCGGCATGGCAGCTTTCGACACATCACACGTCGGCGAGGGAGAGCCAGGCGTTTTAGCCTGCTGCATATATTGGAAGACGACGTCAAAGTAACCAGCTAATGTCGGCGTCCATTCGAAGGCATCTCGAGTAAGTGGTGCAGCCATCAGTGTAGGCGCCAACGAGGCGAGAAGCATTGTGTACTTCATCTTGGAAAAAGGAAAGTGGTAAAATGGGTATTAATGAAGGAAACTGTCTGGCCCGCAGATTCTTTTTTGGACTGCAAGGAAAGATTCACACTGACTAGTGAATTGTTGGAATGAGCTGTTGAGAACGAGAGCAAAGACTGTATATGAGGACTGAAAGAAACCAGAGGCCATTGTCGAGACCAGCCGCCGCATTATATCAACTTGTCAAGCGGACTGGTATACCGGCCACGGATAGGATGGTTGCTATTCTGATGGTGGATCTCCCACGACGAAGGCGGTGTTTCTATCTTGAGGGCTTTGTCATTGTAATTGGCTCGCCAGCCACGGTGGAGCCATCTTGGCCGCATGAGTGCTGCGAGAAGCGGCAAGGGAGATTGTCGGCTGCGTGTCTGATCGACGAGGGTTCGGATGTAATAATAGACGGGGTAATTGGCGCCCTGCGGCAGCAAACACCTTGGAATTTGGACCGTCTTGCGCCATCTGGGTTAGCCTGGACATCTAGAGGGCCCTGGTCGGCGAGTAGGGTATTCGGGATGCTGGTCGGGTGGCTGCGTTGTTGGCCTCCGAATGGCAAGCCTCTTGCTGACCTCTCGGCTTTCTCAGGCGTGCTAGGACGTTCGTCTGGTTACTTCCTTGCCGCCGGCCAGCCGGCCAGCCGCCAGCCCACCATCTCAAAGGGCCAATCCCAGATCAGTTTGTGTATGACGTGCAGATGTAGCGCACAAAGCGGGTACGCCTTGTCGAAATCGCTCCCCGAGTCGTTCTTTTGCCTTAGTGCACGCCCAGAGAAATGCCTTTCTTCAATTCGGGATGCGTTTCAGGTTTTCAGACACGGGTACCCAACCGAATCTTGCTCGGCGCTTGTCTTAGGACTTATAAACCTGCACAGGCAGCTTTGACAGAAGATACAAGACTTCGAAGGCGCTTCCATCAGCAAGACTGGGACCTTGTCTTCGGGTACCACTCGGGCGTATTGGTGACCAGGCAGACACATGTCTCTCCTAGTTCGGATGATGTTCTTCGGTGCTAAGTACAGAAACATACCGTCGGACCTAATTGCGTATCACTACCAAGGCTGGGCATTATGCGCGCGCAGGTCTTGGGGTTTCGCGTCGTAATTCCGAAAGGAATGCCGGCGGAGCGCAAGACAGCTCTTTTGGGACCCGTGAGTATTTCGTTCAGCTGACGACGGGAGCCAGCTGCCAGAATAGTTTCTGAAGATTTTGTACAGACAGTAGCCAGGGGACGAAACATCGCTTGCAAAGGAGCTGCGTGCGTAGGCCACGTTCCGTCTCGTCTGCGCTAACTGCGACAATGGCAAATGGACCATTCACGTAAGCATCGACTTCGCCTCTTTTGAGCCTTTTCCGCAAACGCTTACGAAGCAGGACACTTGGTCGGACTACTTGTAGAAATTGTAGCAAGTCCATCTAACATCCGCGGGTTGTCTTCTCCCTGTTGTTTAGTGCTCACTCTGTCGGATTCCGCATACACAATGGTCGGCGTCTACTGCTTCCGCGATGGTCGCCTGCCCACATGACCGGAACGTACGCATTTAGGTTTGGAGGATTCGAATTTGTTGTCACACTGTGTTGGTAAATAATGCCGGATAGCCATGGAGTCCGTCCGTGGCCCTCGAACTTCTTTTCAAGGGAAACGCGTAATAAAGCCGCGTGGGCCCTGCCAGGAATCTCGTCCTTGATGATGACGGTAAGTCGGTAGAAAGAGAAGGACATGTGAGGTGCAAGAGGATTCTCTGTATGACGCAAAATGAAGCCGTAGACTATGAGATGTCCACCGCAACAACAAGTAAGCACTCCTGGCGATGCGGCTTTACATACCAGAAGCTATCCAAATTCCTGCTGATGCCAATCTGGGTCGTGGAACTCAGGTGAAGGAAGCCCTGCGCCGCCAACCGCGGCCGCTGCTGCTGCTTCGCCCAGATGGACAACGTTCCGATCAACATCCATGGTGCCCATCCAGTAGAGCATCACAAACACCAGCATGTGAAGAGCAAGACAATAGCCGGCAAAGACATTGCGCGAAGTCCTGGTAGCGAGAACGACCCTCGTTAAGGAAAATATGATCCTTTCAGGGAAGCTCATGCGTTTGTAAGCACGTGTAGCTTCCCGGCCACGAAACGCGGCAAAAGGAGAAATATTAGCCTCGTATTGTGACTTCCATCGACCGGTCGTGCTGTCATCCACATGAACCGCCGTGTGACCCGTTGGTCCAGAAAAGGATGAAGATGTTGTTGGGCCCCGATTGTACGCTGAGATATATCGTGTTTTTTCGTACAAGTTCAAGTTATCCTTCTGAAGCGAGGCAACTTCTTGACGCAAGGAAGTTACTGTTGCGTAGGTCTTGGATAGCTCTTCTTCAAGTTGCTGGTTCTTCTGCTTGAATCGATCT